TTTTGAATACTTAACAATACTTTTTCTTCTTGTATTTTAAGCAAATTAATTGATATTGTAAAGTAACTGAAACGTTTTAAAGTATCAGCTTTAAACGTGATATTTGAAATAACTTTTATTTCTCAAAAAAATTAATTTTTAAACTATCTAAATGTTTTTTGATAATTTTATGAGTTTATTATTGTCATACAAAAGTATGGCAAAGTGTTTAAACAAATTATCTGACTAACGTACGCTTGTCAAAACATAAAATTAGTTGTTTTTAAGTACTTTTTATTGTAAGAAAAAGCAATACAATAATATTGGGATGTTCACCTTTTGTTTTAAAAAATATCAAAAATGTTTTGGACACTTCGGAGATATCAAATAATCATTTAATTGTAAACACTGTTATTGTTACTGGGTGTAATTTGAGTTCAATGTGTTGTCAATTTGTTATACCTGTTCTAAATATGATACAAACTGTGCTTCATGTAACGCTATGTTATGTTTGGGCTGCAATCGAAATTACATTTTAAAGGATGGGAAATGTGTAAAGTGTGGGGAGTTGTTTCCAAATTGCATGGAATGTACAACTGAAACACGTACCAAATGCTTACCAAATTATTTGGATAAAAATTCAATATGTCAACCATGTTCTGAAGTTTATACCAATTGTAACTTATGTAATAAAATTCAGTGCCAAGAATGTGATGTGGGATATTTTGTTGAGTATCTCCAATGTAATAAATGATTAACCAAATATCAAGGGTGTCAAATTTGTGACGAAACCAAATGTACGATTTGTGAAGAAACGTATTACTTGAATGGAAATGGATGTGTTAAATGCAATGAAACGTTCCACATTTGTATTACATGTACTTGCATTGTATGTGATGAATCAAGCTGTCTTGAATGCGAAAATGGGTTTTATCTCGATAATAATGTTTGTGAACCATGTAATTCCATATTTGATAATTGCATATCTTGTGATGTATCAAAGTGTTCCGTATGTGATAAAATTTCGTTTATAAAATATGGAACTTGTACATTATGCTCTTCTAAATTTGCTTCATGTTATAGATGCAACGCCACAACATGTCGTTCTTGTTTAAATGCTTTTTATTTGGACAATGGTATCTGTTCAACATGTGAAACAATACATCCAAATTGTGAAGTGTGTGATGAAACCGATTGTTATAAGTGCAAAAGTGGACTCTTTTTACGTGATGGGAAATGGCTTAACTGTGGCGACCTATATGAGAATTGTACAAGATGTGATGATACAAGGTGTTTGGAATGTATGGACCACTTTTATTTGTCGAATTACAACTGCGATATTTGTAAAACAAATTGCGATGTTTGCCACTCTGAATCAACCTGTTCAAAATGTTTTGATGGATATTATTACAAGGAAGATGACAAGATTTGTTCGTTGTGTGACATGAAAGGATACTACATTGACAGTAAAAGTTGTAAAAAGTGCAGTGCAACATGCATCGATTGTTTGTCTCAAACAAAATGTGTGTCATGCATCGAGGGGTATTATCTCGAAAATACCACGTCAGAAGAAATGACAGAATCTTTTGGAACGTGTACAGACTGTTCAACGCGTGGTTGTATAACATGCAATTCAACATCGTGTATCACATGTGAAATCAATAAATACATTGACGAAAGTGGGTTGTGTTCTGTGTGTAAACCCGATAATGTCAAAAGTATTTCATGCTTCATTGATGAAAACGGAAACAAAAAATGTGAGAAGTGCAAACCGGGATTTTGGATAGAAAAATTCGAATGTGTGACTTGTGAAACGTGTGGAAGTAATGGGTGCTCTAACAAAACGAACGGACTTTGTTTCAACTGTTTATCTCCAACGAAGTTTTGATTGAGGGTATTTGCCAAATTGATGAAAATTGTGTCTCCATTGATCCCAATACGAGTGCCTGTGTGGCTTGTAATTCAGATTTTGTTTTGATAGGTAAAAGGTGTGTCAAAACACAACAAAATACAACAGAAGAACTTATTAATTTCGAAGGAAATTATTTCACAAAAGATGAATTTCATTGCAAAGAAGTATCTGGTTCAAATTGTGTTTTGTGTTTGGAAGAATATTATTTAAAAGACCTACAATGTCTCAAATGTTATGAAATACTTACAAACTGCATAAAATGCGGACTTTTGAATTACTCAAATTACAACGAAGTTTACTGTGATATTTGTACCATTGGAAATTCCCAAAAAGTTGTTAATAAATGATTATATTATTAATAGTGGAATATTTGTATAAACAATCATAAATAAAAAAGAAATTAACATAAAAAATAAATTTTTGTGAAAGTAAATAAAATAATAAATATAATAATAAAATATAAAAAAAATGTAAAATATATTAATAAAAGCTGTGTTAATTGTAAATAATTAATTAAAATTATAATAATGTTAAGAATATAAAAATAATATTAGAAATATTTGTATCTATATATTAATAAGATTAGAGTCAGTTGTATCAATACTTTGTTGTTTATTATTTTATTTAGATTTTCAATTTATATATTTATTTATTTTTTTTATTCTTCATTTTATATTTTATTTATTAATTTTTAATATTAAATTTATTTATCATTTTTTAATATAATTGTGATTTTAATGTTTTAAACATAATTTTTATTTATTTTTAAATCATATTTTTTAATAAATTATAATTATTTGATTTTTTTATGTTTTGTTATCAATTTTATTTTTAAAATTAATGATAAAAATATACAAAAAGATATTGATGTTTGTTAATATTAACTTTTTAAATTCATATTGTTTTTTTATAGAAACAAACTTTTATTCTTATAATTTAAATTATTTTATTTTTATTATTCTAATATAAAATCTAAGTATTTTACATTTATGTATAAAACTCATACATTAATGTATCTACTTTATTAATCGTTTGATAATAATCACGCAAATATAAAAGACATTAAAATAATTATATTGATATATATGTTTTAAATTTGTGTAAATCGCATGACAATAAAAAATGGTGTTTAAGATTATTTGAAGTGTAATTATTTTAATTTTTTAAACGACTTATAATTATTTTATAAAAATTTTGGAAATCAACAACAAAGAATTTCTTGTCAAACAAAAAATTTAATCATAATTTGTCATTGGTTGTCTAAGTAATGTTTTTATTAATTACATTGCTATAACTGAGTTTGTTGTTTTTTAATAAAGTTTAAATTGTAATTGAAATTTTCTGTAGTTAAAGTGAATCTTATATATTATAATTCATTTTGAAAATAATTTATTATAAAGAATTTTTTCAATAATTTTAATTTAAATTCAACACATGCGACAAGGAGCACCATTAAATATGGACAACAAACAACAAATTATTGTATTGACAACAAAAAATGTTGTTGTTATAATCAAACCCGATAATTATAATAAAGTCCGTATTACAACTTATCCAACGAAAACTTAAC